TCCCTGACCTTTGACCTTAACCACCGTGACCACCATAGCCTAGACCTCTGACCCAAACCCCCATGCCCACCATATCCCTGACCTTTGACCTTAACCACCATGACCACCATAGCCTTGACCTCTGATCTCAACCACCATGACCACCATAGCCTTGACCTCTAAACCAAACCACCATGTCCACTATAGCCTTGACCTCTAACCCCAACCGCCATGACCATCATAGTCTTTACCTCTGATCCTAACTGCCATGACCTCATAGTCTTGACCTCTGACCGCAACCACCATGACCACCATGGCCTTGACCTCTGACCCCAATCGCCATGATCACCATAGCCTTGACCTCTGACGCCAACAGCCATGACCATAATAGCATTGACCTCTGACCCCGACTGCCATGACCACCATAGCCTTGACCTATGACCCCGACTACCATGACCACCACAGCCTTGACCTCTAACCTCAACCGCCATGACCACCATAGCCTTGACCGCTGACCCCAAATGCCATGACCATAATAGCCTTGACCTATGACCCCGACTGCCATGACCATCATAGCCTTGACCTCTGACCCCTACTGCCATGACTACACCGCTATGACTAACACAGCCGCCATATTACTGCTTATTATTGAATTCTTATCTTCACCGAAATCTCATCTTTAGCGTTTGAATTTCAGAGTGGAGTGTACATCGTGGACACGCCTGGTATAGGGGAGAGTGAAATCATGGATCGGATACTGACAGATTTCATTGACCAAAACAGTGTATTTGCCTTCATTTACGTCATTCTAAGCGATAATGCCGGCGGCGTGCAGGAAGACAGGGTAACAAGACATTTCTCACGTGTGGCAGTTGGGACATTGAAAGTCGAGAAGATTTTTGATTCATCTAAGCGAGAATATTGTCTTACAGTTAATTAATCATCATATTATACAGAGAAGGAACAATTTTTCAATTATCTGATATCCGTTTCAGAAAATATCTGCACTGTTGGTATATATTTCAAATTTTTACTTGCTTTTCAGCTTCAAAAGCTGCTGAAAATGCTCGTTGAACATCAGGACGCTGACAGTGCAAACTCATTCGATCCTAGATCCGCCATTTTCGTTTGTAATCGATGGGATTTGGTTCCAAAAGAAGACAGGAAAATGGTGAAGGAAAAAATTATTAAGGATCTTGATAAATGTTGGCCTGGCATCAGTCCAGAGAAGCAGGTGTTCACCATGTCAGCAAAGAAAGCACGGGTCAGCATGGGACTGGGCTATGTAAGCGATGACTATGACACTCTACTAAATGGAATCAAGGAATTGGTGCCAATCAGCTTGCAAAGGCAGATTCTACTGAGTTATAAGTGAGTTTTAGAGTTTTTAAAAACGTGTCAACAATAATCTCACAAGTTCCTTATAATTACCGTGAAATGTAGATCGTGAAATGACATTTGATTTGGGCGACAATTTTTTTTCAGGTCACTCGTTCAGTCATTGCTGATGCCGTGTAATACCAGAAAAACTTAAAAACTATAAGCTCTACAAGCCTGTGTCCTAAATGAATAGAACATGTAAAACTATAGAGTCCAATGACAATTAAAAAATTAATTTAAAAACTTTTATTGAAAAAAGTTTTAGTAATTTATTTGACTGGCTTTTTTACTTAATATTGTACCATATTCTGCATTTTACTGTCTTAATATTTCCTATATATTTTTCAACTTTATTCAATTTATTTTGTTCATTTTACCTCTGTTAAGTCTACTGTACATTTGATTGGAATTTAGACTATAAAAAATATTATTATTGAAGTATAATTATTATAATTAAAATATTCATCTGAGTTTTTGTTACCTTGACTATTAATTTGGCGTATGGTAATTCACATCTGCGTTAGATTAGTTTCTTTACGGGCCGATGGTTTTCACTCTCACATATGTGCCCTTGTTTATGTTGAGCATCCTGAGGATAAGTGGTCTCCCAGCCTGAGCATAAGTGGTCCCTCAGCCTGTGGCTAAGTGGTCTCCCAGTCTGAGGCTAAGTGGTCTCCTAGCCTGAGGTTAAGCGGTCTCTCAGATTGAGGCTAAGTGGTGTCCCAGTCTGAGATTAGAGGTCTCCCAGCCTGAGGCTAATTGTGCCCCAGTCTGAGACTAAGTGGTCTCCCAGCCTGAGGCTAAGAGGTCTCCCAGTCTGAGGCTAAGTGGTCTCTTAGCCTGAGGTAAAGCGGTCTCTCACCATGAGGCTAAGTGATGTCCCAGCCTTAGGCTAAGTGCTGTCCCAGTCTGAGACTAAGTGGTCTCCCAGTCTGAGATTAACACCCCATTCTCATAGATTAGATCGACCTACATTGGATCGACTCAACTCCCTGGGGGTTCACGCTAAATGGCTGTCAGCCGGGCGGACATGAAAGTTAATTATCCCTTTCTGCTTGTAGTAGGCGGGGACGGACACTTAAGGCGGATTATCTGACAGTAATCTAGTGAGACTCCCCGCGGTGATAGATCGATCTAAAAGTTGTGAGAACAGAGCCTAAGTGGTCTCCCAGTCTGAGGCTAAGTGGTGTCCCAGTCTGAGCCGAGGTGGTCTCCCAGTCTGAGGTTAAGCTGTCTCTCAGATTGAGGCTAAGTGGTCTCCTAACCTGTAGTTAGGTGGTCTCCAAGCCTGAGGCTATGTGGTCTCCCTGCCTGAGGCTAAGTGGTGTCCCAGTCTGAGGCTAAGTGGTGTCCCAGTCTGAGGCTAAGTGGTCTCCCAGCCTAAGGCTAAGTGGTGTTCCAGTCTGAGGCTAAGTGGTGTCCCAGTCTGAGAATAAGTGGTCTCCCAGTGTGAGGCTTAGTGGTCTTCCAGTCTGAGTGGAATTGGTCTCCCAACCTGAGGCTAAGTGGTCTCCCAGCCTGAGGCTAAGTGGTCTCTTAGCCTGAGGTAAAGCGGTCTCTCACCCTGAGGCTAAGTGGTGTCCCAGTCTGAGGGGAATTCGTCTTCCAGCCTGTGGCTAAGTGGTCTCCTAGCCTGAGGCTAAGTGGTCTCCCAGCCTGAGATTAAGTGGTCTCCCAGTCTGAGTGNCTCCCAGTCTGAGGTTAACTGGTGTCCCAGCCTGAGGCTAAGTGGTGTCCCAGTCTGAGACTAAGTGGTCTCCCAGTCTGAGTCTAAGTGGTCTCCCATGATACTAAGTAGTCTCCCAGTCTGAGACTACGTAGTCTCCCATGGGACTAAGTGGTCTCCCAAGCTGAGGCTAAGTGGTGTCCCAGTCTGAGACTAAGTGGTCTCCCAGTCTGAGACTAAGTGGTGTCCCAGTCTGAGACTTAGTGGTCTCCCAGCCTGAGGCTAAGTGGTGTCCCAGTCTGAGACTAAGTGGTCTCCCAGTCTGAGACTAAGTGGTCTCCCATGAGACTAAGTGGTCTTCCAGTCTGAGACTAAGTGGTGTCCCAGTCTGAGACTTGCAGTCAGCCAAGGCACACGACAGTTAATTACCCCTTACAGCTTTTGGTATGCGTGACAGACGCTTAAGTGGGCTGAAGTGACAGTTTTCTAAATGGTCTCCCAGCCTGGGGTTAAGTGGTCTCGCAGATTGAGGCTAAGTGGTTTCCCAGCCTGAGACTAAGTGGTCTCCCAGCCTGAGGCTAATTGGTCTCCCAGCCTGATGCTAATTGGCCTCCCAGTCTGAGCCTAAGTGGTCTCCCAGCCTGAGGCTAAGTGGTGTCCCAGTCTGAGACTAAGTGGTCTCCCAGTCTGAGGCTAAGTGGTGTCCCAGCCTGAGACTAAGTGGTCTCCCAGTCTGAGGCTATGTGGTGTCCCAGCCTGAGGCTAAGTGGTCTCTCAGATTGATGCTTAGTGTTCTTCCAGCCCGTAGACAGTCACCTTTCGTGATTTACTTATTCTTATATCATTTTCCAGCTGGTTGCGACGGTTTGTTACCAGAACCATGACCACTGCCGAGGTTTACGTCTCCAATGCGTCTTTGTCCAAGGAAGACCTGTTGAAGGTACATCGCCAGGTGGAGCAAAAGCTGCAGACCTTTCGGGACAACGCTGATTCCAAGATGGAGGAACTCACAAAAGACTTAGAAGATAACATAGAATTTACGGCCACTTGTTTGAAAGATCACTTCTATACAACTGAGGTAAAACAGGAACTAACAGAGTGGAAATTGCCTGACACCCAAGGTGGATTACTCTTTGAGGACTTTGAATCGATAATAGAAGAAACCATTAATAAAAAAATTATGTCCATAATTTCAAGCTGGGAGAAAAAGGGGAACTACATGGCTGCTGCACTGGAGTCGCAGTTTAAAAAGTATGCCACGCACTTTCAACTGCTTGAAAGTGAATTGAAGCAGATAGAAGATGAACTGATTGAAAAAACGAATGCATACCCCATGGGAAATTTGCAGGACATCACAGATGAGTTTCATATCGATGTGGAAGGATTGATGGATGATGACGTAGCCAGGACGCCGATCATGACATTAAAAGAAAAAGTCGCCATTGGTCTGTTTGCACCGGTAATTCTGCCCGTTGGTTTCGTAGCTGGAATCTTTGCGGCAATTCCGATGGCCCTGCTTGGACTTTCCAGTATTAAGAAATGGATACGCCGCAAGAGACAGGACGAAGTTGTACATCTCTATCGTGCCGACCCAACAGATTTTTCTGACAAAACAAGCAAACAAGATATGTGAAGTCTTCCAGGATTTAGGCCACTGCAAGGAGTGCATGGAAGGCCGATTTGAAGATGCCTCACACCAACTCGAGATCATGAAAACTCACATTCCAAAGTTAGTAGAAGGCACACAAAGGCTTTTAACATGCATTCAAGACGATCAGCGTTCCAAAGACAAAATAATTGATACCTACAGACCCCTTGTGGAAACGCTTGGCATTGGCCAGGGATCAATTTTGTATCGCCTGGAGAGATTCTATTTGAAATTCATTGATAGAAAATCATATGGGGTTGAAAGCTTTTCAACCATTCAACCAACTGATTCCATTGTTAGAAGCGGGATCTGGTCGCAGGTCTACCCATTACACCTGAAAGATTCCGGAGAGAAAGTGATGATCAAGGCATATCTAGAAGTTACGGAGGATGATGTTTTAGATGATATTGCAGCTTTGAGGTGAGAAAATGGGTATTTTAGCATGTGCGTTTATGCACCTGTAGCTGAATGCGTTTTTGTTTCTGTGTGCGTTTGTGCGTGATTATGTGTATAATAATAATGTTTTAATCAAAATGTGCATTCCACTATTGCTTTTATTATTTTTTCAATTGTATTATTATTATTATTATTATTATTATTATTATTATTATTATTACTATTTGCATGTAATGTAAAATTGTTTATTAAGTGTGTGTTGGGTTCTTGTATAATTATTTTTTATAAATTAATATTCATACATAAAATGTTCATATGGGATATCAGAATGCATTTAATTAAATCTGCTAACAGCTCACACACTATAACTACGACACGTGCACATTTGCAGTGTTCTTATTTGCCCTTTTAAGTCATTACTTTTTATTACACTAGTAACTATACTCTAAATGGAAAGGCAATAGATGTTATAATGTTCTTTACGTTTTGTTATTTGCAGATTTTTGGGAAAACCCGGGGAGATATATGTCCCTGCACTAATGGGGAGTTTCAATGACCCGTCTACCAGCCTGCCGTCCTTGGTGTTCAGTGGCACAATAATGAGCTTGCGAAAACGGTGTGTCCGAAAAATAGGTCAGTTTTGTTAGAGTATTAACTGGTGCTGTATGCCTTCTGTATTGTAGAAATAAGTTATAATACGATTGCTAACAAGTTAAACACACCACGCCTATACCGCACTACATCCCACCTCGATCCTTTGATGTCTGTTGATTATCAGATATTGTTAAATTTAGATTTGCTCTTCCACGCGATCACCCCATAGCTACTGTGCGTTTCAAAACCTTTACATCATATGTTTGGTTTACAGTCAAAGCCAATAAATATTTTACAGGGCACAAATAGAATAGCAACTTATGATTATTAAACTGAATTTTTAATGTATATGCATGGTTGATTTACTGAATAGTTTATAAATGTATGAATGTATGACGGATGCAATTAGTTGAATGAACCCGTTGAAGACCTGCAAAATGTGTTCGATTGCAAACAGAACATGAATGGTTAATTTGCTGAATGGTTTATGAATGTATGAACCGATGCAAACAGCTGAATTTATCCTTTGTTGACCTGGAAAGCGTGAAAGCCAGAAAGCGTGACTGCGCTTTTTGCAACCGCAACGCACCTTGCAACCAAGGCACTGACACGATTTCAAGTTGTATAGTGATACATATGAGATACATGGAATGTGTTCGGGGCTGAGTGAGACATTTAAACATTTAGGATTTATACATTTATTGTCAGAGACATGAATCCTCTTATAGTGCGAATGAGGGCTGTCTTTTGGGTGGAAGATTCCATTTCCATTTTGTAATTTCCGCTGTATCCTTTTAGACCATTAGTGTCGACAAACGTACCATTGCACATTCCTGTCAATCCCAAAAGTTAAAAAATATACACACTGTTATGGTTGAGAAAAGTATACAGTGAGCAAAACTAAAGTCCCCCACCCTCGGAGACAGCCAGAGGCAGGCTGTTTCGAAAGGACCCTTGCACATCCCTAATGATAGGGCTATTAATCTCCCTATTAGCTTCAAGTCCCTTACTTAGGCCCACTCCCAATACAACGCCATTGAGCTAATAATCTCTTCCCTACACCTTTTTTCTCTAACGTATATTTGAGTTTTAAACAGTGCCTTAGAAAAGAAAATAGTGGCTAAATTAATTGCGGTTGTAAAATGCGTGCTGACGTTTTACTTTGATTTCAAAATGCACTGCAGTTACAAGATGCGTTTGGTTGCAATGCGGTTCTACACCTACTTTTTTTTCCTGTTAAATAGGCCACGTCTCATCAAAAGAGGATTGCAAGTGGCGGTTATTCGTCAGTTTGATCCCCCTTCTCCAGCAGCTGATAGACGCGTTGGAGTGGCTTCACCGAAAGGGTTTTGTTCATATGGAGTTGTCCATGGAGACGGTGATGGTGAGTATGGAGGTAAAAATGATGCATATATTGTTACTGCTGGGATTCCCCACAGAAATCTTAAACTACCATGGGTATTTGTTTTCGATGTCGATTTAGAGTTGTCATATGACGTCGTGGGATCTCGATTGGAAACCAGACATATGGACATACTGTATACTGTTTTTGCTGTTATATTTTACTATGAACAATTTTATATACCCTTTGTCTGCAAACCAGGAACAATAATAAGGTTTTTATACATGTAGGTGGATCAACCGCCGGAGAAACATGGACACATTCAACTCTTTAACATTGGGTGTCCAAGACCGGCGAATATCCCTTCAGCTGGACGCCTACAGCCCCTCGGTGCCTGCAGATATTTGCCGCTAGAGGTCCTCCAAGGCGGGGTGTACACACACGATGGCGACATCTATGGTTTTGGTTTGATAATGTGGGAGCTGTGGAACGGTCAGCAAGTCTACGATGATGCCAGTGACGTCACCGTAGAAGAGTTCACTAACCGTCTCCTAACAGGAGAGGCGGTGCTGTCAGCACTCAGCGATGTTCACGGTGCCAACGCCCAGGGACTGGAGACCAAGTGGTGGGCGATTATCCAGAAGTGCACCCAACGTCAGCCTGAAGAGCGACTTAATCAGAATCAGATAAAGAGAGAGTTGGAAGCATACGTTGGTAGTATACTTGCCAAACCAACACTGAAAAAGGGGTATGAACCAGTAACACCTCAACTGCCGCAAGTAAACTATAAACCGGGATATCGCAACCCTGATATCAGTGAATCCTGAATATTTCTTGCGTGAAACAAATTGGAAACCAAATACCACATAAATGTTGGTATAGTTGTGCTATGGCTAGCACAGCACTGAAAAAGTTCATTGGCTTGGATGAGCTTAGGTATAAAAAAGTGTTCTGGAGTGCTTTAAATAACGCAATATATGGCTAATAGGCGACTGTCCATGGTTAAGGGGAATTATGCTTGGCTGGTAACTAACTGATAACCAGTACTTCAATTTGATAGCCTATTAGTTTAAGGGACCGTTCTCATGAAAAATCTATTTTCTAAAAATCTATTGGCGGTATCTTGTGATCACGGTCTGTGCCCTGAATACCCCGCGGCGTAATTACTGGAATCGCGAGTGAGTTACTTCCAAAGCTCTTATTAATTCTCGGCTGTGCTCGGAGGAGATTCTGACACCTTGAAATCGCCATTTTAAAACTTTTTTCTAAGTTGGGCGATGGACAGTATTTCGTTTTTAGTGTTGTAGTGTATTGGTGGATAGTTTACACTGTTCCGTTGAGTATACAATGCAGCTACAGTTAACGATATTGGCACCCTCCTTATTTATTGCCTACATACATTTTTGGGGGTAAGAGATAAATCTTCAGCGTTCAGTGACTAAATTAATTTTAATTTAAATGTTAAAACATTTGCACGTCATCTTACGTGTGACGTCATAATTGCGACATTTCCATACATGTGTAGGTCTATTGAAGACAACCGAGTGATTATTTTTTAGAAAAAAAAGACAAAGGCGTGAATTGACAACATATTGAACCAAACAAGAAGTGTAATCATGAGTATTCTCCGCGGCATAGTGCAACCAGCAGCTTTTTTGCCATCTTATAAATTGCAGTCTATTTCCCTTGGGGGGGGGGGGGGGATAGCAGGTAACATTTATAAGCATATTACAATTTGTATATAATTTAAGGTGCCAAGCAATTTCTTTTTGAATTAGTCATTTCATCCTGCAAAGTCTGGTAGTACACCACTAATCCGAATTGGGGAGAAACCTACATTCGTCAGGACTTTAAATGATGTGTGTATACATTTGTTGAAATATATATACCAGCTAAGGTATCGACAAGTCATCCTATGCATTAAAATTTTTAATTTTTATTCATGTATATAGCGATTCCTGTATTTATGAGCTTATCTGTCAAATATAGGTATCAAGTATAGTGCACTTGTATGTGTGAAACACAAGCTACATGGTATTTGTATAGAACTAACAACAGCAATAATACATTGTCAGAAGGTGCAAGTGGGTGGCCTTGTGGCAGTTATTTCTTTACGATAGAGCACTGTTGCTTTTTTCAAAGGTGTACCTTATTGAAGTCATATAACAGCACATATAACGTACATACATAACGTTTTAAAAGACTGGCAAATAAAAGCTTTGAACATAGTAAAATGAGTATTTGACCAGCTTCAATCGCTTTTCCAAAAATCTTTAGAGTATGTTGGAACATTGATAAATGCTTGTGTGCGAATGCGCATTCCATAAAGTTCGCACAATTTACTCCCGGGACTGAACTGGTGTTTTCTAAATCTCTAACACTTCCTCATAATGTGACTAATATGAAATACATCAGAATCCCAACTGAGGGTGCTAAAGTTTATATTCAGGGCCAATAGATGGCAGTTTCTGTCCTCTTTCAGCCTTTTGCTGTTGCTTATTTCACTTGTTCACTATATTATGCTCAGGACCGAAGGGGAACTTGGTGATATTCTCCGCCCCGTTCTCTGTAACTATGAGGATATCGTGTTCTCTGTAGCCTCCTGCTCCTGGCAGACCCTCGGGGATCACAATCATTGGCTCCATGGAAATTACGTTACCTGGCTTCAGTACCGTGTCAATATCCTCTCGGAGTTCAAGATCTGAACAACAAAAAAAATTTAAAAAAACTTAATCCTCATTAGGAATCCAAGGGCGGGTTGGGGGAGGAGGGGGGGGGTTGGTGCCGACGTGTAAAAACCGAAACCAAGGGATTTGGATAAGTGACAGATAAATGTATATAGTGTAAGATATTGTTTAGAACTTAAATGAACTTTGAAAGTCGTCTATATCAGAACTTAAGGGAGTCATATCAAAGTAAAAAAAAAACTAAAAAATCACCCAGAGAGCATGCACATACTTCAGCCCAGGCAGCACTGCTCTCATTAATAATCATGCACTACTTATCAATGATCTAACTGTGTAATAAACTAAATCCTCATTATTACTTCATTAATTTTTAAATTAATCATCACCACTTTGTAGCTCGTTTCTGACCTAACCGAAAGATGTCTTTAAAACCCGTCTATTACTAATTGTCTGCTAACAAACAAAATATCAAAAACTAAACATTTGTTACTCGGTTCCCTCAGGACGGTTCATGACAATGTCATCAAAATCCACCCATAACTTGAATAAGTTTGATAGCAGACAGACAAACAGACGGATCCAAAAACAGCCTTCTTGGTGAAGGTTATAAATTAAATAACGAAATCCTGCTCCAGAACCTCGTCCAACACACCTGCTTCTCGTCCGTAATAATGACACAGCGTGCCAAAGGAGTGCCCATACCCAAAACTGCGGTATTCGAGCAGGTCGTGGCTCTGGTAGATCTCGTTTAACTCGTTGGCTATGTCGCTGCAGCGGACGCCCGGTTTGATAAGTGACAGACCACGGCGGTGGACCTCACAGTTGATCTCCCACAACTGTAGGTGGCGATGTGACTGCACTGTGTTCAGGAAGAGCGTTCTTTCCAACGCCGTGTAGTACCTAGCAAGAGGGGAAAACGATTCATTACAAATTTCTTGAAGTGTTTAATAAACATATAATGACTCTTGCACGCGCTTTCGAACCATCCGTTAGAAAAAAAACAGTGAAAATGTTCATTGTAAAATTAAAGAAAAGTCTTAAAATTATTTTTCATCTTTTATGAAACACTGTCTTCTGGTGTGGCTCGACACACTCTCGTAAAAGACGGGAAGAACAGACAGATAATAAACGCCTGTCACCTTGCTATTTTAGAGACAATTTAAACTGTATGCCCCTTTCCATAATATCNTGTTGATGCCTGACTGGAGCCAGGTCCAAGCTGGAAAGGAGTAGAGACCACTATTATTATTACACGTGCCTTGAAATTACTAAATCTCTGATAACACTTGCAAAGAAGCATCATAACTCATACAAGCTGGAAAGTAGGAGAGACCATTATTAATCGGGCCTGGAAGTTACTTAACCTCTGATAACACTTGCAAAGAAGCATCATAACTCATACAAGCTGGAAAGTAGGAGAGACCATTATTAATCGGGCCTGGAAGTTACTTAACCTCTGATAACACTTGCAAAGAAGCATCATAACTCATACAAGCTGGAAAGTAGGAGAGACCATTATTAATCGGGCCTGGAAGTTACTTAACCTCTGATAACACTTGCAAAGAAGCATCATAACTCATACAAGCTGGAAAGTAGGAGAGACCATTATTAATCGGGCCTGGAAGTTACTTAACCTCTGATAACACTTGCAAAGAAGCATCATAACTCATACAAGCTGGAAAGTAGGAGAGACCATTATTAATCGGGCCTGGAAGTTACTTAACCTCTGATAACACTTGCAAAGAAGCATCATAACTCATACAAGCTGGAAAGTAGGAGAGACCATTATTAATCGGGCCTGGAAGTTACTTAACCTCTGATAACACTTGCAAAGAAGCATCATAACTCATACAAGCTGGAAAGTAGGAGAGACCATTATTAATCGGGCCTGGAAGTTACTTAACCTCTGATAACACTTGCAAAGAAGCATCATAACTCATACAAGCTGGAAAGTAGGAGAGACCATTATTAATCGGGCCTGGAAGTTACTTAACCTCTGATAACACTTGCAAAGAAGCATCATAACTCATACAAGCTGGAAAGTAGGAGAGACCATTATTAATCGGGCCTGGAAGTTACTTAACCTCTGATAACACTTGCAAAGAAGCATCATAACTCATACAAGCTGGAAAGTAGGAGAGACCATTATTAATCGGGCCTGGAAGTTACTTAACCTCTGATAACACTTGCAAAGAAGCATCATAACTCATACAAGCTGGAAAGAAGGAGAGACCATTATTAATCTGGCCTGGAAGTTACTTAACCTCTGATAACACTTGCAAAGAAGCATCCTAACTCATACAAGCGAATTTATTTTTGTATACTTGTCGTACCATATTGTTCAGACTAGTAATTAATTCAATCTGAGTCGCGGGCCTGAGCGCGCGACTCGTAATACGTATTAACAGAAGTTTATAGCTCTTATCTAAAGTTAATCTCTTTTCTTATCTCATCTCCTTTAATTATAGTAAAGTCTCAATAAAGATACAAGTCTGTCGCGCAAAGTTAGGTATAAAATCAGGCTGCGACCTGGCAATAAACGAGTTTTGATTTTTGTAACTAAACAGTGGTGTTGCGTTACTCTTCTCTCCGGGCATAACCCAAGTCGGGAATCGCGTACCGAACCTAGAATCTTTCAACGGTGGATTAGAGCCCCTAGCGTCTAGATTATACCCGCGGTATAGCTAAGAAGTTAGTACAAATTTGGCGAAAGCTCGCACGCGATTCCGTAAAGTGACTTTAGTTATTTTCGGGGAGAATTGTAAAAACACTCACTAACGATGGCCGAGGGACACTGCAACGAGCAAGACGCTACCATCCAACTCGGAAACGAAATGCAGAGGTTAATGAGTACAATTTGATGTACAGTGGCGGATCCAGGATTATTTGAAGGGGGGTCCGCGAATGCAAAGCTGACATTCCCCCCACCCCCCTTGGCGTGGGTCTCCTGGCTCGCTGAAGGCCCCGAAATTATTTGGTATTTTAGAGGGCGCACGGTGCCGTTTGGTACGGTTTAGAACTACGATTCAGCCAGTAAAAATTCTGATTTCAATAGGGGACCATTGGTGTGATGTTTTTCGGAAATCAAAGGGGGTCAGGACCCCCCCCCCTCCCACTTTGACAATCCCCCCTAAACCCGCCACTGTTCTATACATTCAACTTACTGTCCATCAATTCCGACTCTGGAAAAGTTTTAGCAATCTCGCGAACCATAGCTCTGTTAGCTGCCATGGCAACTTCGTACTCTGGAATCCCTTCTTCAAGGACCTCTATGGCTGCATAACCACCAATATTCGCTATACGTGCGCCCTCTCTGATCAGTGCTATCTCTTCGTCCGACTTGTCCATGCGCAATTTCATGGTCGCTTTTCCCACGTCAACTTTTGATATGTGCGGGACAACGTGGTCTAACTTCCGGTAGTTTTCAATGTTCACGTGATCAAATTCAATCCCTAGATATCCAGTAATGTCGCCAAGTTCTTCTCTCACGACGGTGAAGAAATTATCGCGTTGCCAGTCAGTGTAGGTAATACAATCGCCGTAGGACTGACGCCATGGCTGCCCGCCATCCACGCCAGCAGCGAGGGTGAGGCACTTGTCGGGAGTGACAATTAGACCGTACGGACGGCCAAAGGCGGTGTACAGAAACCCGCTGAAGTAATTCACGTTGTGGTAAGAGGTTAGTAAGACGCCGCCAATCGCGTGGGTTGCCATGTACTTCCGTAGATTGTGAAGGCGTCGTGACATCTCATCATCTGAGAAAACTCGTTTAACCTGAAATCAAACATTTTGCTATCCTGTCACAATCCCTGCGCTCCCCCCCCCCCAAAAAAAAAAAATAATAATAATAATAAATAAATAAATAAATAAAATAAAAACAAAAGGATCCACAAGGCATCTTGCAGGCTAAATGAAGCCGATTTTTGAACAGAGCAAGCGTTATAATCAAGAGAGCTTTTCTTCAATAAAAAGAGCCGCGCATATTATTCTATCAATGTTTACCTTTTTCCCATTCCTCATATCGACTACTCTGGGTCTCTCAATGTCCCCATCAGGCAGCAGTTGACTGGCAGAATGCAGCAGTCTTTTGAAGTCGCCCTGACGTGCTGACATAACGCTAGACGGCGCTCGTGTCCATGCCACACTCTGTACAACCCCCATTAACATTTGTGCCACTTGTTTCATTTTTGCTTATTTATGTTCCACGACCCAAGCAGGACGTAGGTGCCTGTAATTACAAAATGAAATTTAAAATATTCATAGATGGACTGCATAAACGTGCATTGCGGTAGATAAATCCGTGTTCTTACAGTTGAAACTAGAAAAACACTCAGAGAGCGCAGACCGAGTTTGTGACACTTAGGAGAACGA